AGCTCTTTGTAATGAGCTCCGTGCCTCTCTGTTCTTCCATTTTGCCATGGAGCTCGAGCTGCAGTGGTCTGTGTCACTATCCCATGGGATGCGGCCATTTGCATAAATTGAGAGGAGAATTCTTTTCCAGCATCGGCCACTAGGACTTCAGGCAAACCAAAGGTCCGTCCCCATGTAGACCACAAAGTGCTCCAAATAGTGCTGGGTTGTTTGTCAGCGACTCTTTCCACCATTTGGTAGTTGCTTCCCCAATCTACCATGGAGAGGGCAGGGAACAAAACCTCTCTCCTCCAACTTCTGGCAGAAAGATCAGATCAACGCCCAACACCCTTCCAGGCTGGTAGGTCCTGGGTATCGCGGCCGGTCTGGTGGCCTTGGGTTTCGCTCGAGCTTGACACGCTGGACATACGAACTCTTGATATGCCCATCAAATGATCTCTCCTCGGATTCGAGCGGCCCTCAGAGGACCAGTGAGATGGAAGCCAACAAGGGAAAGGGAGAATCCATACTTCCAGGAGATGCTCCTCACAATGGACGAATCTGAGATAGAAGACGAAGAGCCTTGCGAAAGACACGAAAGGCTGAAGAAGATCTCCACGAAGCCCACCAAGGACTACTGGGAGATGGATGAGCTAAACGGTCTGCTCAGAAGGCACCACATCCAGCGACGAAAGTCGCTGTTCAGTCCATTGGGCATGAATGGAGTGCCAATCCATCCTAGCAAACTTGGAAACAGGAAGACCATAATGAAGAAAGCCGATGAAAAGGAAGTGAGGATAGAAGAAGGAGAAGAATGGAAAGAAGACAAGAAGGAAGGAAGAACACCATCCACGTTCTGGTGGAAAGGATGCACCGAGTTTTCGTTGAAAGAAGAAGAAGGAGGATCAGGGCATCTTCAGAAGCTGGAAGTTTGGGCCACCTCCACATCGACAAGTCAAGGAGGAGGAAACTTGAGCCAAGAGGTTGACTTGAGTAAGGAAGATGACAAAGACCTTGAAGAGTGGAGGATGGAGGACAAGTCAGAATTTGAAAAGATCCAGCGAAGCCAAGCCATCCAAGTGCTAAGTTCAGAAGAACCAAGGAAAGTCCGAGCTACCCTCAAAGAAGAAGGAAAAGAAAACAGGATCTTACCGTCAAGAATGGCCAGAAGGTATAAGCCAGCAGAGCAACCTGGAGCGCCTCCTTCCAAGAAAAGCCGTCTTTGCATTCGAGGAGATAAAGACCCTGACATCCTGGAACTTGAAAGATTCAGTCCCACGGTGAACACCATGAACTTGAATGTCATGTTGCAGATAGCGATCAACGCTGGCATGACGGTGAGCATAGGAGACCTGAAAAGTGCATTTTGCCAAAGCGATCCTTTGGAAAGGATCAACGGTCCCCTATACTTCAAGCAACCCTCAGAAGGCATCTCCGGTCTGCATGAAGACCAAATCTGCAAGATCATAGCTGGATGCTACGGGCTTGTTGACGCCCCTCTTCATTGGCCGAAGACCTTGCTGAAGGCTTTGAAGAAGCTCGGATTCAAAGAGAGCAGACTGGACCCTTGCATCTACAAGATGTATGAAGAAGGGCAATTGATCGGACTCCTGGCTATAGAAGTCGATGACATCCTAGCATGCGGAAAAGGAGTCTTCCACCAGAAGATGAAGGAGCTTCGGGAGCAGTTCACCTTTGGCAAATGGGTGGACTTGAAGGAGGAGAAAGAAGGAGCCAGCTTCAATGGAAGAAGATTGAAGCAGGATGAAGAAGGAACTCTCTACGTCGACATGAAGAAGTTCATTGAAGAAAGGCTGGAAGAGATTCCGATAGCTCCTGAAAGAAAGAAGATGAAAAAGGAGGAGGTCAATGAACAAGAGAGATTCCAAGCAAGAGCAGTGTGCGGTTCCCTCAACTGGCTGTCCAAAGAAGGAAGACCTGACGCAGCTGGACCTTCCAGCCTCATGTCCTCGAGGCTGACTTCCATGAAAGTTGAGGATTTGTACACCCTCAACGAAGTGATCAAACAGCTGAAGAAAAGCTCAGATTTGAGCTTGAAGGTTCAGCCACTGAAGGAAATGAAGTTGGCAGTGATCACGGATGCTTCGTTCGGCGACGACGGATTTCATTCTCAAGGAGGCCAGATGATCATAGCCCACGAAGAAGGACTGAAGAAAGGCCTGAAGGTGAAGACAAACTTGCTGTGGTGGCGCAGCGCCAAGCTCCAGCGGGTAGTTAATTCTACCTTGGCAGCGGAGACTCAAAGTCTCTCCAAAGGAATGGGCGATCTTCTATGGATGAAGGTGCTGTTCAAGGAGCTGCTGGAAGAAAAGTTCAACATGTATGATTGGCCAACCACTTTGGCCAAAGAAGACGTGGTAGCTCTGGCAACGAGCGAAAATGGAGAGCTGCAGCAATGCCTGGCGATTGTGGACGCCAAGAGTGTGTTCGACTACCTGAGTAAGCAGACGATAGGTGGGCAGGACAAAAGGACTGCCATAGAAATTCAGATCATCCGCCAGGAGCTGACAGCTTTGAATGGAGAAATCCGGTGGATTGATCACCCTGCCATGGTGGCAGATTGCTTGACAAAAGTCAAGGGGTCCACGGAGCCGCTATTTTCAATGTTGAAGTCGGGCTGTTTTTGCATAGCTGCTGAAGAGGAACACCTCAAAAGGAGGAAAGATGAACGTTCCCAGGGGGTGAGCAATGCGCAGATCCGTGCAGGAGTCAACAGAAGTTTTGGGAGCTGTCAAAACTTTGAGGTTGGCATGAGTAGGGATTGATTCCTGCATCCCGACGACCTTCCCGGTCAAACCTCCCAGGGGCCCGTGTTTGCGTCGACGCTCCGATCGATCCATGGCGTGCAGCAAAAGAACCTGAGAGCTACCACTGACAGCTGCCACTTCTGTCAGTATCAGTGATGGTAAAGGTAGTTTGGAGTTAGTTCTCTAAGCTCAAGAGAACTCACCAGGGGAATCGCTTTGATTGACGATGGACATCAGCATCTCGTCGTCAGGTGATGTTCACCATTTTGGCCTTCAAGGTTTGGCAACCCAACGGTGTCGGCATGAACCGTGGCAACCACGAAGCAGAAATGGCCAATCATTTCTACGGCTTTTTTGGTGAGCTCGAGGTGAAGTACGAGAAGCGTATGACTGAGCCTTGGATGGCAACAGGCGTTTTGCTCAGTCGTGATTCTGTCAGGTGCCTCTGCCGTTTCACATGTTGAAACCAGCACCAGCCATCGGTGGATGGATGGCATCAGACGGGCTGGATCTTTTCCTTCTTACATTTTGTCACCCTGAATCCTTAGGCCATCGCTATTAGGTTGCTATTTTATTGGTTGGA